CCCTATCTCCGTAATTCGTTTCAAGTGTGAATAAATACTGTAATAAAATCGATCTTTGCACGCAACGGATATTCGGAGCGTTTAGTCAGTGCACGAAAAACTCTTTACAAAACACCTAGGTTAAGAAAAAAATCCGTGTACATTTCTTTACCGTTCCAAGGGGACACATCAGTCGAGATCATACAAAGAAGATTATCTGACGCAATTGATAAGACTTTCTTCGTGTGTTGTTCACGTCCAGGCCAATTGTGTGTCTGCGACTGACGGACAAAGTTCCAAACTCTGCGGTCTCATTCTGTGTATACTCATTTACTTGTTCCTGTGGGACAACGTAAATAGGCCGCACGGTCAGGTGATTGTCCGAACGGATTTGTGAACATCACCCCGCGTGGCTGAACACCGGAACGATTGAGTCACTCACCAGTGCAGTGGTTTCACACCTAGCTGAAACAAATCATACCGTGAACGTGTGCGAGGCTTTCCGACCCCTGTACAAAGTTCGTGGGCGATTATCGAGGCAGGTTCGCTGTCGGATGTTGGCTAAGGCAGAAGCGGTGGGCATTCGTCTGTACAACCCCCCTCTGTGTGCCTAAAAATAATTTGTGCAAGTGCTAATGCTTCCCTGCCCCCCCCCATACAAACCGCATCGTGAGTAATCTCTATGATCGGACGAGTGGACAAACAAACATGTGATCGTGGTGAACCCCATTTCCGGTCTCACGATGTAATCGGTTTTAGTAATCTGTTTTTATTTTATCTTATTTTCCCATGACAATTTTATTCCCAAGTAGTGATATATATTGAGGTGTATTGGCATGAAAACGAGCTTGTTCGCCACTCTGTTGTTTTGTTTGAAATAGGATTTCATTTTATGATTTCCAAATCAGCAAGCTGTCTACCTAAAAGGAAATCACAAGAAAAGGGAAATTTTCATAATTCATGTTTCCAAAAGAGCTCTCGTTGAAAACTCCGGTCCGTTGTGTCAACTGTTCACATTTGGAGGGAGCCATAGGAAAGTGCTGTCCAATCATGCCAAGGAGAGTAGAGCCAAGAAAGCTCTCTCCTATCGCAATGAACCGAACATTCGCTATCAATGCCTACCGAGCGATCGTCACTACACATCCTGTTTATGTGCTCTAGACAAGGTTAAGAGATCAATCATGAAAAACATAATATGATATAGGGATCGAGAAATGAAGAGATTGACCGAAGCTCTTCTTCATATGTGCCGTCGTTTAAGATGGGAGCAAACAGGTCTGAATATCTCTGGTTGGAATCCCCGAAGGATACGGCTTGTAACTGGATGTAGTGGTCCAGCTATAGTCGACTAACCAATGTTTTCCCGCATTCTAAATAACCTGAAAATGCAACGCCTAATAGCATATATATATATATTTAATAATAAGTAGTATATGAAAGAATGGATAAAACTTCCTGGAAGTACAAGACCGGTTTCGCGGGTCTTGTCTCGCATCAGGCATGTGTATCCGGTATATTCAAAGGATCCTAACTTTGTTCATTGAACAAGTCTTCTCCCTGATCAACCTGTGCTCATTTTCATTCCATTACTAAACTTTGTGGCATGATGTAACTGGCAATTTCTGACACCAGACTGATATATATATATTCACAAATCACTGCCATATTGAGACTGACGTAATATTCCTGCTTTTCAAATAGAACGATATCGATCAAAATCAAGGAAACGGAAGTTATGTTTCAACTCATTAGTCAGCGTTATTTGAATTTTTTTAGACATGACATTGAGCTATGTATTGCATTATTAATCGTATTGGTACGATGAACAAACACAGATAGCAATATTTGTGAAATTTCAACGGAACTGTTTTCCTCTTACTAGATCAAATGCTCCAAAGTCGATCAAGCCGTGGCTATACCAGTTTATAGGTTTAACAGTTCACTTCAGTCTATCGAACAACCATTCACCTTGCATGATCGTTTTTATTTGCTCTTATTCGGCTATCTGTTCGGTTCATTAAACAAAAACACTTACCGCCTTATATGCAGCGTTACGTTTTAGTTGTTGCTGAGCCTCTTCACTGTCGTGCGACATGACGACCGGGGGTAGATCGAATATCCAAAAGGTGTCCGTCTCCGAGATGACCACATCAACAAGTTTATCCAAATCGGCTTCAGATAGGATTTCCCGCTGGGGCTGTGCTAGTGTCTTCACCTCTGTGACAAAAAACGGATCAAGTTGAGACTAATTTACTCGGAAGCAATGCAATGCATAAGAAACAATAATCTGCGCATTATTCCCGAAAGGCTAGCTGTACAACCAAATTTCTCGAGGGGAAAATCGATCAATTCAAGAGAACAAGACTGATCTCGATTTCACGGTTTATGAAAATACAGGCTTTGCGATAACAGTGAATCAAGTCAAGTCATCAATTACCCCGTTCATCTTAGTGAATGGATTTTCAGCTCATTGCACACATCAGGGTCATTTATCATCGCACACAAGCACAACAAGCACAAATTTGAGAGGGGATTAGGTGAAAATGGATTCCAAACAAAACAACGAACTACATAGACAAAATGAATACCATATTGGGTGATCGGTCGAAATTCACCAAGTTGATGGAAAGGGATTAGACGGTTCAAATCGAACGGGTGCTTTCCAAGATTTTGCGATGCTTAAAGCAGAGAGGAGTCATTGATGCCTCCCCCTTTCGAACGTATTAGGCTAACCGGGACTCTTATTCCGAGGTTGTATGGATTGCCAGAAGTACACAAAGATGGAGTAGCCACTCTGTTGTTTTGTTTGAAATATGCTCTGTGGGATTATTTCAAAAATGAACTTCATTTATTTAAAGTTTGTAAAACATTCTTTTGAACGGATACGTTCTGTGCCAGAAATCTAGAAAGATATAGGATAGTAGACAAACGGTAGGCAATGGTACGAGCATACACAACTTTAAAATGATACCTGGTGTGTGTAATCGAAGTGATTTTTAATAGCATATTGTTGCACAATTGTTCGTATGAAGTAAGATGTCGATAAATATGACCAAGTAAAATAGGGCATTCTGCTTGTGTGTGAAATGATTTGAACTGAACGACCTATATTTGTATGGTCTTTAACCTTCAGATTGGCAATTCAAACTGGAGAGCATTAATGAAGGTTCAAGTCAAGTCAAGCCAGTAGTAGCTTTATGCACCCGAATGGGTGAATTTTTGCAGCACTTACACCATATTTATGGATTCAAATTTACAAAATAATACACCATTAACCGGAAAGCAGTAGATTGTGTTTGTCAATGAAGCAAGCAATTGCGCAATTCTGTGGAAATTTTATTCCTGTCAATATAGAGACGTGCTAGATACGGCAAAACAGAATTACGATGAGAGGTACAAGCAAATAAAAGTTTAAATCTTGAGCTTGCGAATGATGTAGATACAGTTTTGGACAATTCGTTGTGTAATGGGTGGTGAGTGTCTAAGAGAATTTTGGCAGTGGAATTTTCATCTGCTTTTAGCTGCCCGTCTATGATAGAATCCGCGAGTTTATCTCTGACGATGCCGCTACATTTGGGGATGTTTCAGAGATTTTGCAATTAAATAAGTCTTTCTTCAACATACCGGGGAAAATGGTCGATGAAAATACAAGAATATCTCAAAGAACAATAAAAAAATAAGGTACACACTTAGTGTCGATTGTATTCAATCGTGTTCCAAGAGGGTTTGAACCGTAGTTCCGTGATTCCTCTTTGGGTACACTCGTCTTTTCACACAGTAATAAACTGTTTCCCGTTCCTACTGTAGCTACTCATGAGTAACGTAAAACTGTATGTGAAAAGAAATCGAAGACATGGAGAATTTACATCTCCCGATATTTGTATCATTGTGATGCTTCATTCAATCAAAGGAGATCTTCTTTGGATGTACAAGAAAGTTTTACCAGTGTTTTTGTTGTGGCGCACTCATTGGGAACCATTTATGAGTCAACACAGTAGCAGACGATAAATCTTTCCTTGGGGTAGTGAAATTATATATAGAGTTAAAAAACTATTTTTTTTATTTTTATTTTACGTGATTTGGTGAATCCGATTGGTTGATCGTGATGCTGTGATGTACGGCTTGGAAATCAAGAAACAGGGATGTTTTTTGTTGTGTGCTTTGAAAATGTTCACAATCCATGGATCAACAGAACACAATAGCCACTCGAGAAGAACCTGGCGATTTTGGGGACCATTCCGTTGAACCTTCTTGATCAGTATACCTTGTGATAAATTCCGAATCGTGAAAGTTTCTGCCCATCACAGCATTATGTGATGATATACCGTCATGCTAAAAATAATCCATGATGTTAACTTCCATTCTTTTTTTCGCCATATGGAATACTTGTGGCGTTTGCTAGTATGAAGTCCCGAAAAAGTAAATTTGCTCCGGCATGTTATTCAGCAAAATGAGCGTGTAATCTTTCCATTTACGTCGTAAACATCCATCCGCATAACTTTCATAATTAAAACCTTTTCTTTATTTTTTTATTTCAACGGAGCAGTCAAGAGACAGGAAGTACAACCGCCGCACGAAATTGCATGCTTGAGAGTTGCAAATAAGGAACACTGAAACAATTCAGTATGTCAGAGATACCATGTGCAAAACTTCGAACGATGCACTGAATCATTTCAACCTGGTCCTTATAACTGGGCCTCTTTGAATACACTAGAGTTGTTATCTTTGAGCATTTTCTGCACAGATTATTTGCTAAAACTGCATTCTTGCGCAGTATTTCTGATGTTCGTTTGAGAACTTCACCGTGTGCATTTCAGCACGTCGAATAAATTCGATTCACCCGTCTGAGTTTTGGGTTTTCGTTTTATTTCACGTTCTGAATAGTTTCTTCACAGTTCAAATTTTCTACTAGTGGTTTCGCACTGTTTGTATTAAATGAAATCTGGGTCACTGATTTCATAAACACAGAACATCGAAATAGACACCAATCGTTCCGCTATAGACAGACGGCGGTTACGCAAACAAGTCACGATAAAAACGAAAGTAATGATCATTGGGCCGTACTTCGGTTCTTGTATGTCACAATAAAACTTTAAGACTTCTCACGGCCGCACTATTCGAGCAGGAATTACAGCACTGTACAAAACTTGGAGGAAATCACACTGGGAGATATACGGTGGTGGTCTTATGTCAGTAACAACAAAGTTTACACTTCATTATCCTATAAGGATCTGAAAAGCATAAGATCGGTTGAATGGGTCTGCGGTAACAGCGGAGAAAATGAGTAAAAAGTGATCATTTATTGATCGCATTAAGTCCGTCATGACTATTTTTGGCTATTATTCTGTGTAAGAGGGGCACCACCGTAACACGGTTAGACAAAAGCGAACAACAGAGGTATCAATAATACCACAAACCGGTGACCAAAAAATCAAGTGTTGGGAGTAAGGGGTTACAAGTTTCGTTAATCGTGAAGAATTATTCAGTCAGAACGCGAATAGGAGAAGGGAGAAATTCAGCGAGGTATGGACAATGGGACAGTAAAAAGGATAGAGGAGACAAGCGATCAATCACATTATATACATATATANACATAAATCAGTAGGGCTGGATGAAATTACTTCACCTATAGTTCAAGCGCTGACAGAGATATTGAATGCTCTGTGCGGCACATTGTTGCCGAATCACTGCCTATATGTCTGTATCTATTACTTTTAACTTTCTTTTTATTTATTGAATATACAGATGTACAGTCAACTTACAAGAAGAGGGCCACGGTCATACAAAGGCTGCCTGGGAAAATGCAGAAATACGGAAGACGGGCAGCTATAGAGCAGCGGGAACCCGAGACTATCAGATCACAAGTCAGTGAGCCAACCACCTCGCCACCACCGCCCAATGTCTTTGGATTAAAAGAGTAGCCC